ATTATTAGTTTTCCCAAGCATGAGCCTGGAATGAGTAATGGAAATGGGCTGGGTCTTTGCCATTTGGCAGGAATTAGACAATGCACTTTGTGGATCCCAGTGAACAAAGCCCTCAAACTTCACATCAGATGTTACAAAGTTGAACTAATATTCCTCCATCTCAACAGAAGGCTTTCCTTATCATGGCTGGGCAGAAGATGATGGAAAGGGCACTGATCAGCCATTGGTGTCTCCTTTGTGCTTCATGCAAGGCCAAGTAGTGATTCACCCAGCCTTTCCCATAGGTCAACCCAGGTGAATTCCATTGTGCCTGAAGTTATATCAGTAGCCACAGAGCCAACAAGTGCAGTATAGTCATTTATTTTCCAACTTCCTCCAGAAACCTGTATTTTATCTAGCTTCTGACTTGGAGTCAAGAGAACTGGGCTTCTGCATATTTGTATATAAAACACACCTGTCCTTTTTTTTTTTTTCTTTTTGAGATGGATTCTCACTCTGTCACCAGGCTGCAGTGCAGTGGCGAAATCTCGGCTCACTGCAACCTCTGCCTTGTGGGTTCAAGTGATTCTCCTGCCTCAGCCTCCTGAGTAGCTGGGACTACAGGCACGTGCCACCACGCCCAGCTAATTTTTTTGTATTTTTTAGTAGAGGCGGGGCTTCACCATGCTGGCCAGGATGGTCTCAAGCTCTTTACCTCATGATCTGCCTACCTCGGCTCCCAAAGTGCTGGGATTACCGGCATGAGCCACCGTGCCTGGCCACACCTGTCCTTAAATGCACCCATCTGTCCATGGCCATGGTTGCTTCTTTGCCCACTATGAATATTATCAAAATGAATGAGATTTATTCTCTCCATGCTTGTTTGAGAGTAGGGTACTGCACATGTGTGAAAGCATGCCTAGTGTAGACATCTCAGAGTAGGGCTCATTTGGGAGCAGCCCTTCCAAGGATGTGGTATGCAGTTGCAAAGCAGCATGTAACTATATATAACCTGGAAATAGGCTGCTCTTCCCTGATTCTTTGACAGGGCACATTTCTATATGTTGGCTTTGTTGGCTGCTGCCTTTATGTGTGTATGTGTGTGGGATGGTTACTGAAATTTTGAGGCTATATATATTTTGTTGCAACAGTGAGAATGTGGTAGCAACCTGGTGTTCCTCTTGCCAACAAGAGCACAGTACAGAGGGCTCCTTTCCTGGTCCTGCTGTGGAGGGCATATTTAGCTGCTGCTAGAACATGAATTGGCACTGAAAATACATTTGCAGAATAAATGAATGAATGAAAGAATGAATGAAGAATAAATGTACAGAAGTAGGCACTTGGCTTGGGATGAAGAAACCACTATTTTGAAGCATTTTTGGATCCTTAGAGAAAAGATAGTTCAAAAGTTCTTGATTGCTCATTAGCCAAAATGAGGACACCAGGGTCACATTCCCAATGAGGTCTTTATTAATTTAGGACAGTGGTTCTTCACCCTTTTTGGGTTATAGACCTCTTTTGGAATCTGATGACAACTGTGAGCCCTCTTTAGGAAAATGCACATGTTGAATATATACACACATTTTTGCATATAATTTAATTTTAGGGAGCTCAGAGACCCCTCCCATGAACTCATTTGGCCCCCAGGTTAAGACCCCAATAATTTAGATGAATAGAATCTGGCAGTAAAGTGGCAGAATGGAGAAAGAATTGAGGCTAAGAACTAGATTTCAATTATATTCTCATATCTGTTTCTAATTAGCTCTGTGAATATAATTTCATTACTCCAGGGTTCAGTTTTCTCATGTGAAAAACAAAGGGGTAGGCTTAATTCTAACCAAAGATTCATCTGGTGTCAGCATTCTGGAAGGAGAAGCTGCTGGCATATTCCACAGGAACATCACTTCTTCCACCAAGGTTTCTCTGCTGGTTTCCTCCTTGGTACACATTGCTTTCTTTGTACTTCGAAAAGAAGGCTTCTTTCCTCAGCAGGTAGGCTCCCAATCAGGTGGCACTAATTTTAATCTAACTCAAAAATCTGCACAGAGGCCATAGCTCTCCGGTCACCTCACTTCCTCTTCCTTCCACAGTGCTCTCATAGTTATCAAAGAGGACTTCAAACAAATCACCTGGACAGAAGCGGGGCAGGTTAGAAGCAAGCTGGCGGGAACATCCTGGCACTGCCTATTCAGGTGAATGGATTATAGCTCGTCCACTTTCCTCTTTGCTTTCTCCTGGACTGGCATGAAACAGAAATAAACAGTTGTAACCACCACAGGGAGGAACTCTGCAATGTGCTGGCTGCAGCCATTCTTAGTTTTTTGCCAGCGAATCCACTAACTTAATATTTTTCTTTGTATCACAGCTTTACTATGCTTTTAAAAAATAGGAACTTTATGTCTCTAAATACCTGGTGCTTTTAACACAAAATTAAAAGCAAATTACCTAAAGGGAGTGTTTACATTCCCTCAGACAAGCCAGGCACAGTTATTCAGTAATCAGTGGTGTCTCTTCCCCATCCCCAAAAGCAAGTGCCTGTATCCGTTTTTTTCAAAGATCACAGTATGATGTCAACATCCAGGACTTGCAGCCCCTTTCCAGTGGCCCCGCTAAGTGGTGACCAGCTTCATTTTGAATGTCCTAAAATGATTGGTAATTAACTACCTTCTGTGGCAACTCACTGTATTTGTAGCCCTAATCTCAGGCTCAAATGTACCCAGTAGCTTTACATCCCGAGCCCTAGTGCTACTGTGCGAGAATGAAGAATTACAAATAATGTCTTGAGTCTCTTTTCTTTGCCAGGCCTTTCCAAGTGTGCTTTCCAAATGTCATCTCTCATCTCACTCAATCCCCACAATATAACTGCAATGTCACGCAAAGGTAGGCTCTACGAGCGCAGATTTTTAAAAATCTGATTTGTTGACTGTTGTGTCCCTAGTCTCTAGAACAGTATCTGGGCAATATTTGGCACTCAATAAGTATTTGCTGAATGTAAAGATATTTACTGATATTATCCCCATTTTACAGATGAGAAAACAGTCAGAGGTCAAACACTACTATAAGCTACAGGGGTACTTTAATAGGATCCAAAAGAATAAAGCCATTATGAGGAAGATAACATTTGTGTCCAAGAGGTTCTGCCTCATGCCACACCCCCAAGACAGCTGCCCATTCCACCTTTTCTTGTGATGGACACAGCTGAACCCCGTCATTGGCACTGGAGAAAAGTGGTGTCATGGTTTCAGAATGCCACTTACGATTGGTTGATGGTTAGTTAGAATTAAAGGGTCATAAGGGTTACCAAGGGCCTCATTTGGAGCAGTATATTGTACAAAAAGCGTGGCCGTGGAGGATGGCATCTGATTATCACACTTCTGACTGAAAACTGAGGGAGTAAAAGTGGTAGGAAAGGCAGAAGCAAACATAAGCAAACACAAACCACAAACCAAATTAAAGCAAAACAAACATCAAAGAAACTAAAAACTCCAAAACCCAACACAAAGTAAAACTTATGAGCTGGAACAATGGAGAAACATTTCATGAGGGTTTGTCTTCGTTTTTCTCTGGAACAAACTATACTTCTTTTAACCTGAGGAGCCCTGATGCTACTTGTTGGAATGTTGCTGTAGGCTAAACAATAATGCCCTATTTCAAGTATCACTTTTTTTCTTGCAAACACCACATTCCTTGTGAATTTACATCTTCTTCTGAGTTTCACTAAATGAGAGAATATCACCCTTACCCTGACTTTAAAAAATTTTCTTTATGAATGGCTAAAAAAATCCCAGTATGACAGTTTTTTAGTTGACCAGGAGAAATATTTTTGATGAATGGAATATTTTCTTTGGTAAACAAACAACAAACACCAACTCAAAACCAATCAAATAAGTTTCTTTGGTAAAGTGGACGTTAATGTCTTGGTTGGAATTAATTGAAAGAAAAAAACACCGCTTGTTCAAGTGTTTGCAGGGATCAATTTTTCCCTCTTTATAGTAATTCAAAAAGTAAAACTTGACGAAGTAAAGACTTAGATTTTACGGGGATGTGATTCTGAGTTACTTCTAAAGTGTCTTCTCCACAGTGGGGCTAAACCAATGCGGCAGAGCAATAATCAATAATCAGTATTAACAAATAAATAATAATTATCTAACAATAAATAATAAAGCTTGGCATGCATAATCTCCCAATAGAAAAATTCATTTCACAGTCAGAATTCCATAAGCCTTCATTTCAAGTGCTGAAAAGAGAAGTTGACAAGTTTGAAAATGCCCTTCATTAAAAAATACAATATCCCAGGGTATACAGAGACTCAATCAACTTGGAAAACTACTATCTGTCATAAAACAAAGTTCCACAGTAAGTCATTCTGGTTGACCAAATTGAATGATTAAATTCTCAACAAAATCCATTTAATTGGTGTGTGTGTTGTGTCAGTTTTGTGGAGTCGCTTTAAGCCGAGGTGCTCCACGTGGCTGACACTAAATCAATGACTGATTTAGAACACACTGTTCAGAAAATGATTTAGCAACATATGATTTAAGAATAAAACCAATCCCCTCTTCAGTTGTGTTTATAAATAATAGCCTAGTTGCAGGCCCCTTGCAGACAGAATTGATCGAAGATCTATTATGCAAACTTGCCCTTTTGTGAGGACTGTACTTGTCCTCAGATTAAAGCTTATTATCTTCTAGTTGAGCGCATAACACTTGTATTATCACTTAGTGTGTCTGCAGGGGAGACTGAGCAAGTGCGTAATGCATTAGCTACAATCCCCTGCACATGTATTTAGAACTGTATGGACAACAGTACATGAAATAGAAAGCCTAGGTTTGCACTTGGTATGGTTACATCTGAATTATTTGGGCTTTTTTGCTGTTTTGGAAAGACAACGGCAAACCTAAACCTCAAACATTTTAATCCCAGACACTAAAAAAATGTCTGCCCTGTGGCCAATAAAGTCCTATGTTCCTTCTTTGGAAATGCATTTTGAGAGGAGTAATAGCCATCTTTTGAGAAAACTGAAAATTGGCCTGCCCTGTCTTAGGTATGCTGAAATGATGAAAATCCTTTAGTGGTGTGACCTGAGTGAGTCACTTTATTCTCCTAGGTCTCAGTTTCCTCCTCTGCAGAAGATGGGTAACTTGCACAGCATGTCTGCTAAGGTTCAGAAAGGTAAGATGCTTTTGGGAAATGCTTACCACTATAGATGTCTAAATAAGCTACATCTCCAAAAGGGAAAAATACTGTAGATATTTGCTATAAATGTAACCAGGTTTTAGCTTCATTTTTATAAATTTAAAGAAATGCAGGGGCCTGGACAACGTATACAGCCTTTTTAGATCTAACTCATTTCTGTTTGGATCTATGAACCATTCTTCTGTAGATACTGGAAGTCAGGAGTGTAAATATCTAGGCTTGTTAATACACAGAAGGGCCTTGCTATGATGAAGTAGAAGGACATCAAAAAAGGTGTAGGGGGAACCAGCAAGGTGAGGTGCAGCCAGTTTAGTAAGAGAATTGGACTGCCATCATTGATAGATTTGTATTAGTGAATACTTTGTCCAGTCTTTTCCATCTGTCTCCCTTTTGGCCCTTTATCTCCCTGCACTTCTACAAAGCTTCTCAGTGTCAGGACTTAGACTTACTAAAGATCTTCCTCTCTGTCTCTGAGCAGGTGTGTTTCATAGCAAAGGCAGACTGGCACTACAAGTTGGAAGCAACAGCAAATTACTATTTCAGTGTTCGTTTTTTTCCCTCAGTTATGCGTGGGCAGATGTTTCTGGGTATCCATGCAAAAAATGCATGTAGGGCCAACCACAAACAGCTGTACCAGCTGGCTATTTTGTTGTCGTTGTTAAAATGGAGACACTATATCTGGGTCCAAGTAGACACCTGCTTTTGCTCCATCATGCCAGGTATTTGGGTTTGGCTCTGTGGTTTTGGGTCCCTGGATCCTCCTGCCAAGAGCTGTAACTAATAAAGCAGACCCATTTGGTGACAAGTGACAAGCTCTTCCAAAATAGAATCACACCAGTTCTGCAGTGCTGGAGCTGTCATTGGTTTTAAGGTGTTTTAACCAAACCAAACTATACAAATGTTAAAAGCATACCAATGGGGGAATATGATAATTTCATTCTAGACAACAAAACTGCTTCACCTGGGTGAATTTAGAGGTGAAACAATTTTAGTCCATGAGTGATGGCCACTCTACCACGTATCAGTTTCCAAGGCTCTGGCTTGCTTTTGCTGGTCAGAACTTTCAGAGCATCTCCTTTGGTGTTAGGGAGCTAGGTGAGACAGCTAAAACCTCAAACCACAGACCATGGCTGGAGCTACTGCTCTACAGAAGTTCTGGAAGCCTTATTGTTTGAACAATGCTTAAAAGCTGTTTCTGCCTTGGCAGTTGACCTTTCTATCAGTGGGTTTTGTCACAATGCCAGCAACATCTGCAGTTTGGATAAGACAGGATCCTGCTTGTTAATAAGCTTTCTTCTATTTGATCTTAGTTTAAGAGACTATAGGTCTCCTAGGGTGTGTGTGTGTGAATTCTCATAACAACTCTTTTGTTTTAAAGACTGAAAATATGCCATGCCCATTTCTCCCCATTATCTCTTACTTTTTTTTTTTTTTTTGGCAATGCCTGTTTCCTATCTTTAAAAAAGGGAACAACTTTGAATTTAATTGTTTCATTAACATAATCTCTTTGGTCTTGATAAGACCTAAGGTGAAAATATACCAAGCAGACATTATCACACTGTTGTAATTTGGTCAACCACACGGGTACTATCGATATCCACCATTTCTACACACTCAATTTCCTCCCGGTTCTCAGGATTTTTCTTCTCTTTCCTTTTTTTCTTAGAGGGTGGCAGGAAAGTCAGTATCACAGGTAAAATGGCAAAGCAGTGAAAGAAGGTGACAAATGCTATTAAAAACAAGCACCTGAACAGTGTACAGGTCAGATTTGAAGGCACAGCTGCAAGAGGAATCAGACCAACAATATAGCAGAGGTAACTCTGTAAAATAGCTACCCCATGCACTTCCAGGGCATTTTTTACCCATTTAGTTCTTGTGAAATCCTTGCCCAGAACAAATGTGGATAACAGTGGAGCACAATTGTCAATTGTGTAATTAATTCCATAAATTAAGCATAGCACAGAAATGCAGTCCAGTTCTACTTTCCATAATGTCATGAAACCTATCACTCCAAACTCCACGGACACAACTGTTAGAGTGATCCAGACGTTAATCAGTGAATCTGCCACCAGGAATGCCGAGAAGAAGAGCAGGAACAAAGCACTGATGCAGGAGTTGTGCAGGGGGGCTCCCAGAGAGGAGGCATATCGATCCATGTACACAAAGGACGGATTGAAGACGATGAACTTCACCTTGGAGGTGACAGAAAGTCTCCTCAGGGTTTCCAAGAGATCATAGAGTTCTTCTCTGTTTGTTTCCATGGTCTTGGCCACCAGAAACATTCTGGAGGCCACTACATCGACCTCATCATTGTATTTTTTAGAGAAGATGATGTCCTCTTGAAAATGTGAAAATTGAGGGGCTTTCAGAAAGGAATTCCTCAACATGTCTGTGAAATTTTTCTTAGGCAAGCCAGTGGATACATTGAGTTTCCGAAGGTAATTTAAATAGCTCTCAAACCAGGATATCCGCACAAACCCCTTGGTGTATTCTAGAACATCTTCTTGGACACTAGTGTTCCAGTATTCTATAGACTCATATATGTAAAACCCAATCACAGGACTGTAGTTGCTAAAGTACTTTTGCTGGGCAGTAGTGTACTCAATGGTTTGTGTCGCGGTTGCTACGATGTTACTAAGGTCTGACCCTTCACTGACCTGCAGATAGCCCATTAAGGCAAAGGAAATATAAATAAGGTAAAAGAGAACTACAAAAGGCTTGACATAGGTGTTGGTTATCCAGTCACAGTAATAGCGTTTGAGGAAACATACCAATAGGTGACTCTCGTAAGTGTTTGCTTCCTCGCCTTCGGTTGTGTCCTCACTGAATCTGGCTGTCAGGAGAAACCTGTACCATGCCGGCTTCTCCTGCAATGCCTCAGGCTTTGGGACTTTTCTACAGAAGATACTATGCTGGTAATTGTTTTCTATGTAGCCAGTGAACACTAGGCTGGAACCATAAAACGAGAGTACATAGAGGTAGTTGAAGAAGATTGCAATACAGGAATTGCAGCAGAAAATCCTGGCTGCCTCAATGTTTGTGAAAGGGCTGGCCCCTATGCCAAAGGTGACCAGGTACATGGCAGTGGTGAGAGAAAAGGAGAGCATGGAGTCTGCATAGACTGCTGCAGTTCTCTCTTTAACATGTTGGTCTTCTCTAGTTTTCCTCCAGGAGGATAACATTTCAAAAGTCCCATATAATCCATGACCTAAGGGGGCAGAAAAAGACCAGAGCAGAAGTTTAAAGGACTAATCTCTTAAGAGGGAAATCAACTTGATTATGAGGGACTACTGGGTCAAGGCAAACGTAACCAACCCTAGTGGTGATGGGTATGTGAATGCCAATGATTTCTCCTATGGGGAGATAGACCCAAGTTTTGATGAATCATAAATGTTAATGAAAGGGCAGCTAGAGAAGCAAAGATCTTCATATTCCCTCTGGCTTAAGAAAGTTCTCTTCTTTGGAGTGTTCCACCAACCAAACTGCACTTAGATGAACTTTTGCCTATAGAAAGCTGAGTAGAGCCAGGCATGGTGGCTCATGCCTGTAATCCTAGCAACTTGGGAGACTGAGGAAGGAAGATGACTTGAGACCAGGAGTTTGATACCAGCCTGGACAATGTAGCAAGACCCTGTCTCAAGAAAAAAAAAAAAAAAAAGAAAGAAAGAAAATGAAAGAACTTAGCCAGGAATCGTGGCTCATATCTGTAGTCTCAGCTACTCGGGAGGCTGAGGTAGGTGGATCTCTTGAGCTTGGGAATTGGAGGCTGCAGTGAGCTATGATTGTGCCACTGCACTCCAGCCTGGGTAGCAGAGCAAGACCCTGACTCTAAAAAGAATAAAAGCTGATTAAACTTGTGCATATGTCTCCTGGGGATTTTTCCCATTAATAGCTTAGGGTTATTGGTGAAGTCTGGTTGGTGGAACATTCCAGAGAAGAGAAGATGTCTGGACACTCATCATTTTGCTTTCCATTCCCACAAGTCTGGCTAGGGGTCAGTGCAGAGGAAGACAGTGGGCAGAGGGTTCTGAGTTAATGTCCCGTCACCTCATTTAAAATTGGCCAACTGGCGGGTGTTAGTGATAAATAGGCAGTGTATTTAATTTGAGTCTTGACAGGAAACTAAATCACAGCCCCCTCTTTTTTCCCTCCCCAAATATTAGGGCAGGAAGCAATAAATCTGAGAAAGAGGGAAGCAAAATAAGTAGGAGTGAAGAAGTTTCAGTGAAGAAAACACAGAAAAAATAAGATAAATATGAACTCTCCTGGTTATTGATAAAAATTAGGATTCAAGTTGAAGGTTTATGACTTGCAATTTGTCTTCAGGGATCTGTTTGACCAATTTTGGACATTCATACATGACTTATCAAGCAGTGATATAATACGTCAGCAGTGACTCTGCTAGCTTCTGTGCACTATTTGATAGTGGCATCTGTGGGAAAGAGCCAGATCAGTAACCCCTCTGCATAACTGCTTAGTGCCTTCGCCTCCCGGTTTGGTATTTCAGCAATACCGAAATAGCAGAGGTACAGTAAATGCCCATGTTCTGACTCCATACTACTGCCTGGAACCTGATCTAGCATGACTTCTACCACCTCTCCTAGTTGGAGTCAGACATTTCCCTACTTCAGGTCCCTGTGTTTCCAGGCCACTGCAACATTGGAAAGCCCACCAAAGTGACCCATTGTGGATTTCGATAACCCCTGTCTTGGCACTGAGTATCAGCAGATTGAATTTCCTGTTTCCATGCCTTGGCATATTCAATCCCATTATTGAGGATAATAAAATCTTTACTCTGTGGTACAATAGTCTTGTTTTTAAAAAGGAATTTAAAATCTCCAGCCAAGCATAATGCTGAATAAAGTGAGTCACTGTTATCTTGTGTGTACAATAGCTAAGTGCACATCTTCCCTCATGCCCAGGCTAGTATTTATATCCTTATTGTGAAGTCCTGGCCCCAAACCTGAATGCCCATTTCACAGTAATGATTTAGGCCTATTTCCTCAGAGGAATTTGGCATTTATCTTAATTTACTAGGCATCGTTTTACAGCCACTTTTAGAAGTCAGGTCAAGACTGTCAATTTGATAACTAGCACCAAGGCCCCTATTAAAATGAAGGCACCTAAACTCCCCAGACATGAAGTAAAAAGTACACTCATTGACTGGCATCCTGTTGCTAATTATGCTTAGGTAGTTAACATCTAGTCTGGAGACGGAACATGAGTCAATCTGTTTCTAGTATATTTTCAAGATGGACCCACTGACCTTTGATTAAGTAACCATTCCCTTGACAATGAGGGTAAAAAGAGAATATCTCTGAGGCACTGTCCCTGAAGAAGTAATATTGACTTTTTTTTTTCTTTTTTTTTCTGGGGCCATGTAGAGCAAGTAAGCTTTGGTGGGCAAAGCACACTTCAGGGGGTCACTCTAAATGGGAAATAATTTTTTAATGATACTTACTTGCCAGAAACACACAGAAAATTAAAACAGGGTTTTAGTACTGAGTCATTAAATATGGCAAGAAAATAAAGCACGTAGCAGAATTAGAATTAGCCATATAATAGAACTTAAATCTGTTTTGCAGTTCTTTTAAAAATCAGTGTGATGTTTTATAATGACATTATCTGACCCTGATTCTTGGAAAACACAATAGGAATCAATTTCTTACCTTGCTGTTGAATAATCTTAGAAGCTAATTGAGAAAAGGAATTTGAATTAACAGAGATATTAGGTGACAAGACTGAGGCTCCAGGGCCCAGAATGAAAGTAATCAAAATCAAGGAAAGGTAGAAGTAGGCTGTTGGCTTCTCTCTTGAGTTCTGTTGCTGCATTTTAAATGCCTTGTCCTTCTATAGTTTGATCTTTTATACTGAGTCCTGGCTCTTTTTGCGTATGTTCTTGGTTTGAGGGCAGCTCCAAAGAGAATTCTAATTTTATTCTTGGGGTTTTGGAAACAATGCCTTTCCTTAGTTCTTCTTGCTACAGGTGTGTACATGCAGCCACTCACAGAAATCAGAAGAGGCCCTGAGAAAGAATTTGTTCTAACTGATCACTCAGCATTTATTGCTAGTTATCCCTGGCTTTGCCTCCAAAGGCCCCTACCACCATTCCTGATAGGTCAGATTTCTCTTTCTCAAGCCACACCTCTCTAGCAGATTCCTACACCCGAAACCCCAAACTGGAGTTCCACAGCATCTTACAAGAGCCCTTTGGATTTCTGGAACAATTGCTGATACCATAACTGGGCCTCCTTCCTGAAGCTTTGTCAGTCAAGGGAGGGACAAGTGCCAACACAGCTGTGGTCACCTCTTAAGGATTAGAAGCCTGGAGTGCCTGGCTGGCAGTAGTCCTGGCTTACAGCTGGGTATTTTTGCTGAAGGGGTTGGCCTGTTATCCTATAGGGAAGCCCATCAGTGAGGACCCTGTTTTCTGGCCTGAATTCAAGGGGAGACACATTCCAAAAGCCCTAGGACATGAGGACCATCTTGCCCTCCAGAATGCCGGAATTATACCTGAGTTCCCCTTGAACTTTCAAGGGTATCCTTTTAAATGCAAACTCCTCTGGGACAGTGGTCTACTGAAGCAGCTTCTCTTAGGTCTGGGGAATGGGACAGAGAATGGAAGTGGGGATGGAATAAAGAGGAAATGGCAGGTAGGAGAATTTCACAGAGATGAATTTCTTCAGTTTTTCCTCCAGTCAGGTCTGACCTTATCTTTTACTAGCACTCCAGAAACTGAGCCACTTGGAGTCAAGGAGAGGCAGAGAAGATAGATTTTGGTAGGTTCTGTTCCTCTCCACTTTCCTCTTTCAGTGGATGGCTCCATTCTTTAGCATCACCATCATTCATTGCTCTATTTTTTTTTTTTTTTTGAGATGGAGTCTCACTCGATCTCCCAGGGTGGAGTGCAGTGGCGTAATCTTGGTTCACTGCAGCCTCTGTCTCCTAAATTCCAGTGATTCCCCTGCCTCAGCCTCCCGGGTAGCTGGGATTACAGGCACGCGCCACCATGCCTGGGTAATTTTTGTATTTTTAGTAGAGACGGGGTTTCACCATATTGGCCAGGCTGGTCTTGAACTCCTGACCTCAGGTGATCCGCCTGCCTCGGCCTCCCAAAGTGCTGGGATTACAGGCGTGAGCCACTGTGCCCAGCCCACTCTCTTAATTCTGGGGCTGTAGTCCAGCAAGCGGAACTCTAATACCAAATCTTGCAGACGTGGGCAAACAGATACTGCATGTGGACTGAAGATACTTTTCAGAGGTCTGATTATTGTTTCCTACTTTTTAAAAAGGTATTTTAAAAGCAAAAGTACTGCTGTTTGCTTTGCACTCTAGGTTTAAAAACTTCTCTACAAAGTAGTTCTATAAGCTTCTCTGTGAAATCTGACCAGTGGGCCTATGTCATTGGCATAAAGCATAACTTTGGCAAATAACAATTTCCCATCTCCAAAGTCCCAAGTCTGTTCACAAGGACTCCCTGGTGACAGAACTCATGGGGTGGGGGCAGGGCGGAGCTACCTAAATACAGATTTTGATTTTGGTCACTAGGGACCCTGTGGTGGTAACGGGAGTCATGACTCATCATTTGAGGGCCAGGTCACAGCCTGAGACCTTGAGGTAAAAGACTATATCATAGTGAGGATATCAGGAACCTCAACATCCTGACATCCTGACATTCTAAGGATTACCCTGGATGATACAACATCCCAGGGGATTCCTTCTTTTACAGTCACAGTGTAAGACTGAGGAGTTGCCAGCGGGAACTGTTAAACACATCTTGATTCTATCAGATTTTGAAGATAAAAATGGTTTTAAAGCATTCTCTTGTCCTTTAAAAGCATATTCAAGATGTTTGTTTCTATTTTTGTTACACTGCATGTCTGTATTGTTACATGCATAAGAACAAATGCATATTAGTATGTGAAAACACACACACACATATAAAGAGAGAGAGAAAGAGAAAGAAGAGCGCGCCAAGTTCTAATTATTCATGAGTGAATACTCTGAGGCAGCTCGAGGTTTTAGTCAGGCCAGTAGGGTTCTTCACTAATGCTGAGGCAAAATTTGGGCCAGGAGTGTGATTTTAAAAAGAAAACTGCTTTTATTAATTTTATTTGCAGTAAACTTTGGGGTTGTCATCTAATAAAATAAAATATTAAAGAATTTAGGCTAGGCCGGGTGCGGTGGCTCATGCCTGTAATCCCAGCA